ATGTTACGGGATGCATTTTTGAACTGCTTGAAATTTGTCAATCTCATCGTTTCAGAAACCAATCTATTCCTGTTCGCAGAAAACACTGAACCCAGTGAATAACTGACATGCAGATGATGAAGTCAATCTTACAATAATGGAACAAACATTAAACGCCTGTGTCATCATCTATGTAGTTACAATCTTCATTGATATTACTGCACACAGAGTCCTTTGTATGCTGGAGCTCTGCTTGTGATTGGCGAGTGCATATGCTAAACATGCAGAGCGTATTCTTCTATCAGGTGGTAAAATATCCTAATACCAGTGAGTGTGTGTGTGTGTGTGTGTGTGTGTGTGTGTGTGTGTGTGTGTGCACACGCATGCACATTAGTCTGAGTGTTTCGGCAGGCAATTCAAATAACCTCTGGTGACATGACACTTAATACTAGTGCATTTAATTTGATTAGAGAACAAGAATATTAATCACTCTCACTCACACATGTACAAACACAGACAATAACACACACACAATGTAATACATACCCACACAACACATGTCAGTGTGCACGCAGCATAACGTGAAGCGTAAACGCAATCGAGTTAAATCTCATCAAGACATGATTTGGATACAAGATGTGTGTTTATCAAAAAATCTGAATGCATGTTTCAACAAACAAAGCTACAGACCATGAAAAGAAATGCTATAGTCATTGCACTCACAAATCCATCTTGAAGGTCAACAAAACATACAATTTATCCTTTTTTATCCTGCAGAAGGAAAAAAGTTAATAAGCATATCATTTGCTTATTATTTTCTAAACCATCTTGTGATTTGCCTGCAAAAGCAGCAATTACTACTATACGGCCTACTACTACTTAATTGGAAAACCGCATACATACAGTAAAAGCATGAGGTACATACGTAGTCTATATATGAGCAGCAGGGGGCGCTGCAACCTTAACGTGATATGCAGATATCACCTGCGTTGTTTTTTACTGTTGGATAGTAAGAAAATGATGCCTTCAATGCCATAGAAAATATAGTAATTTCAGATTACAATGATAAATACCCCAATAGTAGTAACAGCCCAACATATCAACAAAGTATCAGCAATGTGCTCTTTCAGTCTGTTAAAGAATTGTTCATGTACAAGTAATTTTTATGTAGCTGGTGCCAAATCTAAATCTAAAACAGTGTTCTGCTGCACAAATTCAGTTTGGTCATTTTTCTCTCATCTGTGAACTGCAGTCGTCAGTTAAGTACAGCATAGTAATAAGCATCCTACCTTGCAACGTTTCCCTCTAAAATTTATTAATATAATGATGCACAAAAAAGAAATACTTAAGCTAACGAGTATCTAGAAACACCTCCCACTTTTTTGTTTCTACCACCAAATTTTCAAATCTTCATTTAGCCGATGGACTTGAATGCAGCACGGCGCTGAGAGTTTCGACCAATCAGAAGCGAGATGGCATTTTAAGTTTGAAGTTACCGGACCTGCGAGCAGCTTCTGCACCCTGCACAGGGCAGGACAGAGCCGTGTCTCCTTTCAGCTTCTGCGGAGGATGAGTAAAGAAAGCTGCTCTGTTTTCTAAACTAGACAAGTCTCGCTTTATTTCTATCCTTTAAGTCTCGTCGAGGAACTCGCTCATGCTCGCTGGTTCAACGCAGTCGACCTGCCGTTAGATACGTGCTGCGGTTAACGTGAGCGTCGGCAGGAACTTTCCAAAACAACCTTAGCTTACGTGCTGTTAAACCCATAGTTTGGTATTTTAATTATTGTTCTGTATTACAAGGGTCGCACGGTAATACCACCGTGGATGTTGTGTTTGCTGACCCTCCGGCAGAGCTCCGTAAAGGATTGCAGGTATGTTACGTACAGTGTGAACAGGCTGTTTATGTTGTAATGTTGTTACACTGTGACTTGTTACTGCGGTTGACTGTAACTCTAAAATAAAGCGTCCCCCTGAAGGTGTTTAAGGAAACGCTCCTTTGTGACAGTCACATGTCGGTAAGTTACCAAATGTTATGTTCAAGGATGTGATGTCTCTGAACGGCTGTCATTGCGTTTAGTCAGTATAGTTTCCTTCCTGAATCATCAGCCTACTTCTCACGGCGACAGCAGGGGAACCGTGCTGTTGTATGTAACACTGCTCAGCCCTTTTGCTGTTGAATCATTTTCCACTTGAAACTTGCTGTTTGAGCCCGTTTGGTTAAGGCTTGTGCCTTTTGCTTAGGAGAACTTATTGCTTAAATACCCCCATTAAATGTAGGCTTTTTTTTTTTTGTTTGTTTTGTCAAGGCAGTCCCTGTGTGACATATCCAGTGACAGCATGTCCAAGCCAGCTGGTTGTCCCCCTCCGTCTTCAATTGGTCAACAGAGACTGGCTGAGTGTCCCTAGGCCCCCTTTGCAAACAGTGACAGAGAGGAGTGAGCGCTCTGGGTTGTCCTCTGCAAAAACCACCTGTGAAAACAAAGTGATAAGAAAGTGCGAGAGCTCAAATAAACCCAAGTCACCTCATTTCACCAGGCTGCGGGGGAGAAGGTTACAGTAATGTCACTTACAGACTAGGTTGTGTAAGTTAGTTCGGAATCAAAGTCATGTTTTATCTGTGTCACACTGCCATGGCTGTGCAAATACTTGCAGTCTGCTTGAGTCATGTGTGTAGTGTAATAGATGAGACTTGTTTGATTTCCTTTTTGAATGTGGTGACTGTACTCCTTTGAGAGGTGTAGCCTGTGTTTACTCAGCGTGCATTCGTTTTAAAACTGGGGCCTGGCTCTTATCACTTGTCATGAGACTGTGAATTAGAAAATGTATGCTCAAAATAATGTCATTTTAGGGAGGGGAAAAAAATGATATAAGCCAAGTTCAGTACACTTTATCTTCAAAATGTGTGTTAAAACTGTCCCCTTACGATTTCACTTACTCATATCTTCCCCACAACCAGCTATAATTTCTTATAATCCTGTGCTGTCAATCATTTCAAGAGGAGCTGTTCATTTTTTGAACTCACTGAAGCTTTATGTCCAAGGGCTATGGTATTCGAGGCTTTCCAGACTGTAATTTCCCCACTGTACGGCATCTCCGTGCCTTGAGTCACAGCAGGTTTCCCAAGAGCCAGCTGGTGTTGAGCAAGAGAGCAGAAGAAAGCTGATGCACTCCTTGATAAGACATTCTGTGTGTCAGGCACTGAGCAGGACAGCACACGTTTGTGTTGCTTCTTTAACACAGCGTGCTCCTTCGTGTTACTGTTGTCGTGTTGGGAAATAACAAAGTTGGTGTACAAAGCACACTCACCTCTGAGAAATATCCGGCCTGTGCACGGCAGCTGGAGCGGAACGTGTCCGAGCAGGGAGTGGCTGTTGTCGTGTCTTTTTTTTTTTTTTGCCCCCTCTCCCACCTTATAATTCTACTGCTCTTTACCTGCCTCTTCTTTGGACCCATGTAAAGGCCCCAAAGAGACAGACGCCTCCTTTTTGTTGTTGAACTAAAGTGAGCGTTTTATTGTCGGGGGTAAGTGTTATCATTCACCTGAACGCCTCGTGTCAGTCTGGGGGTTGGTGTAGCATCACCACTGCAGGAATCGTGTTACTCAACACTGGCGCGGAGGCTTTTAGAGGGTGGATGAGCGTTGAGGACTTGCGCTGCAGAGACATGTCTTGTTATCGAAATATCAGCCTGTTAATCTTTTTTTTTCTCCAGAACAAGTTGTCACGAGCGCATCTGTGGCTCAAGTTTAAATTCCCGGATAACTAGTACGAGTACGAGGAGAGCGGTCTCTACCATGATCGTGCTTTTCAGAGCAGTTTGGATTAAAGAGATAATAAAAGAGCAATCTACATGTAAAATACGTGCGGGGATGTTGACCGCCTGCGCTCGGCAAGCTTCAGTACTGATTGACTTTACCCTCAAAAACTGTGGGATTAAAGCATAAATGCTTCTCTTCTTTTTAAAGCTTCAGATCAGTTAATGGTCTCTCATTGGGCTTTTATTCTGTGTGTTCTGCGGCTGTTTTGCCAGCCTTCTGTCATGAAGGTGTAAGTTTGTTGGTGAATGTACCTCCCACAGAGTGTTGCTTTGCTGAAAAGTAATTGTAGGGATGTAAGGAAAAAAAAAAAAAAAAACCTTGTTAAATTAGGAGTTAGTTTTAAATCCATTTTGGATTAGCGTTTTGATTCCTTTGTAGAAAAATGTCCGTCTGTCTATTGCTCTTATTGTAGCTTCTGCTATTATACATCTCTGCACCAGCAAAGGGAGAGTGAAGGAGTGTTTTTTTTTTTTTTTCTATTTTCAATGTATATTTGTGGCCCTTTGTTTGTGGTCATGTGACTTCAGCAGCCCTTTGGCCAAATGTAAAAGCTCTACTCAGGTTATGAGAATGTATTACTCAAAGCATTTATTTATTATAGTAGGTCAGCAAGATATTAGTATCTTCATTTTCACTCTTAAGCTTCACCTCCATGTGTTACTTAACTTTTAAGTAGCACGCTGCTGCTGAACTGTAAAACTTGGCTGCAGAAAGTCAGGCACAAGATCCACCCACTCGCTCCCACTCGCTCCCCTCGCTCCCCTCGCTCCCCTCTCTAGGTCTGCCCCATCCTCCCGCCTCAGCTCTCAGCAGGGTTTGATGTCGGCTGCACAGCCAAGAAGTTCTGAAGTACAAATATTTATATAAAGCAGAAGGGATGTGACAATGTGAGCAATAGGAACTCCACAGGGAGGAGTGCTAGGGGTTACCCTCAGGCTAATCTCCACTAAGACATATTTACAAACCTAGCTAGCAGTTAGAGTGGACCGCTTCCAGTTTCGTCACCAAGACGCTAACTGTATTTGGTCAGCAACTGCACAGCCAAGGCCCACTTCAATGACGTATTTAACCAGTGTAATATTTGCATGGCACATAAACATATGGTTATACTTCAGACTTTTATTTGATTTGCGCGCACATAATTGTTTCCATGCGCAGGGGAAGCACAAGGCCTCTCTTACATACTACATTTGACTTTGTTTTAGCTCCGTGCCAGAGCAGAATTTCATCTGACACCATTGTCAACTGAAAATAAAGCCTCAGAATAAAATGTCAGAGAGTGTTTTGAATTTACATTCAAAACAAGTGGGTTTATGGGCAACCTTTTCTATACATATCAAGCAGGGTTTCATTGTCTTGTGCCCATGTGAGTGACAGATGTTGCCATGAAACATCCATTAATAAAACATGCACAAGCAGTTGTATCTTTGTAAACAACGTGTAGGGAAATAGTCAAAGCATTGTGTCTAAACAGCAACATGTAATGCAAACTAAAAAAGGGGAAGTAAATAGTGTCTTTCATCATCTTTCATCTTTCAGTTTTTCCTTCAGAGACATGTTTGCAAAGAGTATTCAAACAATACTGTTTTATTGTCAGTAAATTACAGTCTATATATTATATACAGTCTGTATATTGTACTATGATTTCAAACGTGCACCATCAATATCAGCTGCACTGGGATTGAGGAAACAGTTCTATTGTAAAGTTCAGTGTGATTATCAGTTGAGGGAAGTGGTTAGTTGATTTTCCACATTAAAGGACAAAGTTCATCAGTTACCTGCAGCATCAACCACAAAACATTTTCATTCACCGTCATTTAAGTAACTGTAAAATAACTGACAAGAAGATCGATACTGTTTATATGAAGCTACCACCAGCAGCCAGTTAACTTAGCTGAACATGAGGACTGAAAACTGGGGGAAACAGCTAGTGTGGCTCTGTAACTACATGTGCTTGTTTGATTCATTTCTACAAAAACTGAAATGTTTAAAAGTTGTGGTTTTACAGGGAGTTAGGTGCCGGACCATTTCTCGGACGGGAACAGTGACTCAGGTTGCCAAGCAACCAGCACAGACTTAAAACTTAGGCCGGCAAAATTTCTGGCCAAAAAATACTTAGCACATAACTCCCACGAAATACCAACCTTTGGCTTTTCTATAGCTTAAGCTAACAGCCTTTATGCTAAGCTGAGCTAACCGGCTGCTGGCTGTAGCTGCATAATTACTGTTCGGACATGAGAGCGGTATCAATCTTGTCATCCAACTCTTGATGAGAAAGCAAATAAGTGTATTTTGGCAAAAAAAAATCAAGCTATTGCTTCAAACCTGACACAAACCCAGTGCCCGTGCATATTCGGTTTTACATTCGAGTATTTCACAAACAGTTACTATTTCCCAGTGTTTTTCCATTTCTGAATTTTTCCACTTAAAACGACTTTAGTTTGAATAAACAGTTAATACCACTACTGTTAATGCTCCATCTCTCAGCATTAGCCCATCCCCCCTGCAGCATAGGAGACCCCCTAAACCCCCCCACCGCCTGCTCAGTAGCATTCCAGCTGGCCAGATGGTGTCTGCTCCGCACAGCGAACACCAGAGAGCCGAGAGAGAGAAACCCCACGAGCAGGATTCTCCGGATGAGACATTCCACCCCACTGATCTCTGCCCACCCCCCAACCCCAACCCCACCCCACGCTACTCATGTCTCTCTCTCTCTCTCTCTCGTCGTTTCTCTCTCTCTCGTTCCTCCCTCCTCTCGCTCCTCCCGGTCTCTCCTCGTCGGTCCTCGTCCGGCTCTTCCCTCGTCGACAGGGCTTTTCTCTCTGAGACACGCATCTCCACTCCCAGTCTCCACTGGCGCTTCTCTCTCTCCATCTCTCTCTGGGTGTTGTGCTGCCTCAGGTCTTTGTAAATTGATACTTACAGCACATTCTGGGATGAAAGTCCGATGGAGTTGATAATTGTTCACAACGCAAAATTGCCTTTAATCCGGCACCTTAGATGTTACTGATAGTTGCTCTGTATCCTGCTCTGGTGGTGACACTGTGAGAAAGA